GAGGTCAATCTTCATGTTCTCTTCATTGGCTTCAGGCTCATAGTGCTCCACCCGTCAGCTAGGTATGGTGACCTCTGTGGGAGCCTTTGCTTCAAAGCCATAGCAAAGGGCAAAGGGTGTCTCGCCCGTTGCCCTTCTCGGCGTAGTACGGTAGCACCATAGGATGTTGGGGAGCTCATCAGCCCAATTGCCCCCCGCGTCCTGGAGCTTCTTCTTTAGGCCCTCCAGGATGGTTCTGTTGGCGTTCTCGACCTGCCCGTTGCCTTGAGGATAGGCAACGAAGGAGAAACGATGATTAATTCCCCACTCCTGAAGGAGCCCTTGAAAAGGCGCAGCTTCGAACTGGGTACCATTGTCTCGGATATGATCTCATGAGGGACGTCGAAGCGGGTGAGGATGTTTTTGTGGACGAATCTCTGACATCTGGCCCCTGTGATGCTGGCCAAAGGTTCCGCCTCAACCCATTTGGTGAAGCAGTCCACGGCGACGATGATGTATCGGTTGTTGCCAGCGGCTCTGGGCAGGGGCCGACCAGGTCAATGCCCCACCTTGAGAATGGGATCGCTGTGTTGACCGGAGCGTAGTTGACGGCTGACCGACCAAGGGCTTTTTGAAGGACCTGGCATGCAGTACACTTCCTATTTCGCACCGGATGATGATGGCGTCCCTGTGTGATGCGGGTCTAGGAGGCAGATCCTTGTCGATGAAGGTGATCGCCTCCGCCCGTTGTTTCTTCGGCTGGGGGGAGCGTGGGACACCTCCCCGATGTAAAGGGATTGAGCCCATTTATTCCTCTGGGTGACCGAATCCCCCCAGTGTTACCCCCCACAATGAGGTTGATGTGATTCTTTTTTGAGGGGGGCCCTTCGAAGTCTTCGTCGTCATCGCTGAGCCTGCCGATCTCACGCTTCTTCGTAGAGGGTTCGCCCCCATGTTTGCTGGTGTTTACCCACGTATATTTGCGCGGGCCACCTTTAACAAACTGGGAAAGTTCCCCTTGACGAATCAGCTTCTCGATGTGCCTCTTCAGAGTGACGCAATCGTCTGTGTTGTGGGAGGTGTTCCGGTGATAACGGCAGTAGGTGCCACCCTGATGGATGGCATGGATCTCCTTTGCCGGCCGAGGATCTCGCTCAATGAGGTCGTGCTCCTCGGCGTAATCGAGGATGGTGCTGACCGAATGGGTAAGTGGGGTCTTCGGCCTCTCCATCCTCGGCCGCCATATGCGGTCTCTGTTCTTTCCGCCAGATCCATGTTGGCCTTGTCCTCCCTGGCCTCGGTCCCCGGCCGCTGCAGCCAGCGCAGCATTTGTCTTCTTGGAGGGGTGCCTCCGTCTTTCTTGTGGCTATGAAGCTCGTCGGCGTCAGCGTATAAGTTCCCTCGCTGAAGCGCCTTCAGATAAGACCTCGGAGGGTCAGTGATGAGGCTCCTTGCATATGGGCTGCTGCGGAGGGCCCCTTGGAAAAGTACGAGGAAGGTGCGCTCATCGGCCCCCTCGACCTCATCGGTCTCCCTCGTCCACCGGTCGATGAATGACCGGAGTGATTTGTCATGCTGCTGCTTGACGGAGAGAAGATGGGTAAAGTATTTCTTCGCGCGCTTCCTTCCAGCAAAGTGAGTGAGGAAGCGTTGGGCAAGGTCTTGCCACGAGTATATGCTCCCCTCGGGGAGTGCGTTGAACCACTCATACGCTGGCCCTTCGAGAGTGGAAAGGAACCAGCGGCAGAGGTATTCATCTGACGCGTTCACCATCAGCATGTTGTTCTGGTAGCGGCTGAAGTGCTCCTGGGGGTCGGAGCGGCCGTCATAGGGCTTGATGGCATTTCCTCGGTACTTCTCGGGGATGGGGGCCGAGAGTACCCTGGCGGTGAAGGGGGTCCTTGTCCTGACCTGGATGATGGGGTCCCCTCGTCCTTCGGCCAACTCCCTTTCAAGGATAGTGACCTTGTTCAGAAGGGCGTTGAAGCTGGGATCTCTGGATGAGTTGCCGTTGGGCGTGGCGGCCAGCTGTTTGGCCTCCATCTGGGCGAGCCTCCGCTCGAGTTGGGCGATCACCGCGTCCCTGGGGTCCTGGGCGGCCATGGTGGCGCCCTGCGTTTGCAAGCGGGCTGCATGAGCCATGTTGATTTGATGACGCACATCATCCTCATGCAGTTTCCCCTTGCCTTTGTCCAGGCGGGGCCGATCTGCTGTCCGGGATACCGACCCCAAGCTTTCCCTGGGTGAGCCAGGCTCACGCGGACCAATCCGTCCCGCCATCCTCTCCGAAGCAAGCCGACGACACGTGTCACCTAGCCTGTTAAAGGCCGATGCTTTTCCACGCGCTGGGGCCGGTCCAGCTCGGAGAGGAGAAGCAGGGTGGGAATGGGACGACGTCGTGTCCTGGGGCACCACCCCCTCATCGTTGTCTAGCCTAACGGCCAACGGCTGGGGTTGAGGAGGTGGCATCGTGTTCTCCCCCGTCCTTGGCATGAGTGCGCTTAGGACGGTGGGATTCTGGGCCAGACTGGCGATGATGGCCGAGAGTGCGGCCTGAAGGTGAGTGTCAACCGCAGGTGAGGCCGGTTGCGCCGAGGCGTCTCCCTTTTCCGTGCGCTTTTTGTCCAGCCGAGGCGGGCGTCTGGAGCGCCGCCGTTAAGCTTGTTGCGTAGGTCTCTCACGAGGTCGATGGCCTCCTGGAAGACATCTCCCTCGGCGGCCTTGTCGGTCGTTGCGTCCTCCTCGTGTTCCTGATGCTCTTGGACCTCAGGGATAGCCTTGCCGAGGAGGTTGCGGTTTGACTTGGTTCTTCCCATGATTAGTTAGCTGTGCTTGGTATCGACGAAGGGGGCTAACTTGATTGTTCTGACTCTCAATGAAAGCACCAAATGATAGACTATAAGTCTAGAGAGAAGGGAGAGCTAGAGAGAGAAGTAGTATATTTGCTTTGTATTAATGAATTCTGAACCCTTTACATGGCTCCCAAGGGGAGTATTTATAGAGGAAATTAGGGCCGGGCTCCCAAGTCTTGGGCTTGGGAGGCCCATTTACAATTGGGCCACTAATGGGCCGGATACAAAGTACAGAGAAAAGATTAAGTGTAAAGTCCTATTCTGGAGGCCATCTGTGGCCGATGAGGGCACGGTCGACGAAGGCGTGGCCGATGAAGACCCGGCCGACGAGATCACCGGCTCTTCCTGGCTTCTGGATCGTGTTCTGAGTGGACTTCTTCTCGGCCGATGAGGGTCATCTGGCCGACGAGGGTCCCACCAGGCGGTCGTGGTACCTTCTATTCTTCCGAGTATGTGGGCCCTGGGGTCCTGACCCATATACTCCATCAAGTCTGTTTGATAATACTAAAGTAAATAGAATTAACTTATTTTGCTGAAATTGATTGAATTCCGGTTAAATAGGTGGAATCTTCTGAATCATGAAAAATATATGTGAAATATATTCCATTTGTGAAACAAAGAAAAAATATATGGGAAAAAAGTTAAATTGGTCTTCTACATAAGATCTCAAGTAAACATAATTGTTATGAACCCAATAATAAAAAAATTCTATATTTCTTATTTGTTAGATCTTACAGTTTACTCATTAATATGAACGTTTTTAATTGAATTAGAATTTCGGGTTTGATTTGGTATGAATTATTATGGTCTATTAGATGTCTGTGTTTTATGTGACTTATTGTTATAATTATTAAAGTTTGATCTGATCTGATTTAATCTGAAACTGAAATCAATCCAATTAAAAACATTCTATTAAAATAAAAGTGGAATTCGTAAACCTATAAAGATTTTCTAATTTGGATTAGGAATCTATTTCAAAAGTGAAGACATATTTGAATTTTAGGTGTAAAATAAACAAACAACCAAAAAATTTTACTCCCTCCGTCCCATAAAATAAGTCCCATTTTCCTTTTTGGGCCGTCCCAAAAAATTGTTTCCATTTCCCTTTTTGGAAAGTTTTGTGTGGCTAACATTCATTTACCTTTTTCTTACTCAACCACAACCATACATTTCCATTTTATTCCCATTTTCTTAAACTCCGATCCAATTCAAAGTTGGACTAATTTTCCGGGACGGAGGGAGTACTTATTTGGCTAAGCTAAACATATTTACTTATGAAAATATATATACTTTATGTTGATTATAATTTTTAATTTCATTTTAAATTATTTACTTATTTAAAGCTTACTAATTTATTAATATGTGTCAAATTAATAAGTCAACTAATTTGCATATTTGTTTCTATTTAATTCAGTGTACTAAACTAATATAAATTAGTTTCCATATCAATAAACGTTATTAGAATTTCACTTTGATAACCAAAAATTATTTTACTTATTTGAAGCTTACCAAATTAATTAAGGTGGATTTATAAGGATTTTTGTTTCCATATCAATATGCAATCAAAAATAGAATCAAATAAAAACAAAAGGTATAAAAATAAGTAAATAATTGTTATATATAATGACATGGCAGGATTATGTGACGCTTTGTATGCTCTTAAAAAGTTCCTGATCTTTGTTAATGAACTAAAAAAGTTAAAGGGGGGAAATTAAAAGTTCTCTTTTAATAATAAGATATTTATGATAGTACTCCCTCCGTTTCTGAAACAAGTTCCACATTTCCTTTTCGGGCAGATTCAAAATTAAGTTCTACTTTCAAACATTTTCTTATTTGGCAAATTATCTACATTAAAACGGTGTCAAAGAGTGTCAAACAGTGTTCAAACAGTGCTAAACAGTGTTCAAACAGTGCCAAACAGTGTAAAAAAGTGTTCAAACAGTGCCAAACAGTGTTCAAACAGTGCCAAACAGTGCACTCCACAGTAAAGTCAAATTTATTTTTTCTTAATATGTGTGAAGTCAAATTTGGAACTTGTTTCAGAAACGGAGGGAGTGTGTTTTAATAAGAACCCCGTCATATATGCTAAGCTATCTCCAAAACTCTGCATTGGAACAGTAACTCTTTCCTGCATCTCTTATTGATATCCAGTCCCACTTCATTCTACAGGGAATGGTAAGCCCATTGAAATCTATGATGGCCGAAAATTCCTTAATGGCACGGAGAAAAACATGGATATTTCTGATAAGATGCTTCAAACACCTGAGGATTCTGGCAGGGGTGAAATAATCTATTTTCGAGATTCAGATGATGAAATGCCAGATTCTGATGAAGATCCAGATGATGATTTGGACATATGATTTTCTTGTCGGTGTGCTCCTTTTTGCATTTTGAGTGATGGCCGAGCCGACCATTGTACCAATGGCCAATATCATAGTGGTCGATACTGTTTCAGACTGTCCCATGTGTATACTTTCTCCTGTTTCAATTTCTTTATTATTTTATTGTCGACACTCGACATGGTCAATGTAATATTTTTATTTTCTGATTTTGTGTATCTCAATTTCATCATATTTGAATTCTTGAGTTTTTTTTGTCAAGTTTGTTTTTTCGGTTTTATAAATTGGAGTATTTACACCTTAATTAATAATAATGTCCTCCTCCGGAACCACTTCCGCCTAGGGGTGGACCGAACCGGGCCGAACCAGCCCGGGAACCGGACTGGCTCGAGACCGGATGACCGATTCCGGGCTTTAGCCCGGGTTGGGTGGGCTTGGCGAGCCGGACTTGGGCCCTGTTTTTCTTAAACTGGTCCGGGCGGTCCGGGCTAGGGATGGACCCGGGCCGGTCCGGTTCTGGTTCCGGGCCAGGCTCAGGCGAGCTTTTTTTGCAAATCCTTGGGCCCGAAACCGGCTTGGGTTGATACCGGGTCCGGGCATAATCGGGCTGGGCCGAGCCGGGCCCAGTTCAATGTCTTTTTTTTTTGCTTTCTTGTTATCCCCCGACCCCCCCCCCCCCTCACCCCACCCGCAAACCTCCCCAAAACACCCAGCCCTACCCTAGGAAAAGAAAAAAAATTGAAAAAACAAAAAAAAGTTGACTCGGGCTCGGCCTGAACCGCCCGGGCCGGTTCGCCTAAAATTGGGCCCGAGCCCGACCCGCCTGACCCGCCCAAATGTGCTAAAAGCCCGGAACCGGCCAACCGGTCTGGTCTGGCCCCGCACAGTAGCGGGCCGGACCGGTTCCGGGCCGGGCCGGTTTAGTCCATCCCTAGTCCGGGCTGGGCCGGGTTGATTTTTTTGTTTTTTCAATTTTTTCTTTTCCTTGGGTTGGGTTGGGTGTTTTGGGGAGGTTTGGGGGGTGGGGTGAGGGGGGGGGGGGGTCAGGGGTTAATTAGAAAGCAAAAAGAAAATTATACATTGGACCGGCCCGGTTTGGCGCGGACCTGGTTTCAACCCGGGCCAGTTCTGGGCCCAACATCTGAAAAAAAGCCCAGCTTGAACTGGCCCAGAGTCCGGCTCGGCCCGGGCTTGGTCCATGCCTACTTCCGCCTGAGGAAACAATTTGGGGAAAGTTCTTATTTTTGTGTTATTTTTTCTTTAGCAGTTCTTGTTTTTATTTCAGTTCGAGAATATATGGTTGGAGTATTTTGACTTTTGAAGGACTTTTCATAGATAACGTTTCATTTTCGGTTGTTTTAGGCTTATTTTTGCTCGTTTTATGTCTAGCGAGTCAGGTTGCTTTGTATGAATGACTGATTCTAAGTCAATTCCTAGAGTTTACGATCGAATTTGTAATAGCCGCCTGGATTTTGTCTTACATGTTTGCTCTATATTAATGAAAGCAATTTTACCAATAAAATATAATAATAATTTTATTGGCTATTAGCCCTAAATGGGATTAAAAGTAGTCCAAAATTCCACATTAGGAGTATACTTCTTTTATTCCCAAAGTAGGAGTAAATATGTCTCTTCTTCCTATTCTACTTTCAACCTATAATTTCTAATAGATTCATTTATTAATAAAAAAATCATAGTTATATTTATAATAAAAATATAAAAATCGAAAAAAATATTTATAAATTAATAAAAAAATTGGGGAAAATAAAATAAAATAAAATAAAAATTTAAAGTAGAAAATGAAAAATATTTAGAAAATCTAGAAAAATAAAATACCTAAAAAAATTAAAAAATATGTAGGGCACTACCTCCGTATCCTCGATCTCCTAGCAGTACCACCTCCGATCGCTGGAAAACAATGTCATCTTGTGTAAAATATACCACTTTCTCTCAAAATGCCATGAAAATGACATTTTTACTCTTTGAAAATATTCAGCTTTCTTTTTAAAACTGCAACACTATGACATTCTTTTTCCCAACTTGGCAATCTTTTCCACTGATCAGAGGTGGCGGTGCTGGAAGTAGGGGTGGACCGAGCCCGAGTCGGGTTGGGGCGGGCTCCCGGTCCTGAATATTTAGGCCCGATATCGGCCTCAATTTTTTAGTTGTTTTGGACTTTTCGAATTAATTCCAACCCCACCCCCAAACTCACCAAACCGCCCAACCCCACCCACCTAGAGGCCAGCCGAATGAGCCTGAACCGGGCCCAACACGACAACAGTTCCTCCATGCGACGGTCCCTTAAGAAAACATCTGGGTCCGCTATTCTATACACACACACGAGTATTAATAATGACTACTGATGTATTTCTTCTATCTTTCTCATAATTTCACCAACTTTAATTTTAGAAATTGTCATAAATAGGAGTAAAAACGCTTTGAAATTTCAAAATAGGAGTATCATGTTTTTTATTCCTTGAATAGAAGTAATCTGCCAAGTTTGGAAAAAATGTCATGTTTAAAAGCCTAGTAATGCCAAACTTGGCAGAAATTTACTCCTATTCAGGGATTAAAAAACATGATAGTCTTATTTTGGATTTTCAAAAAAAAATTACACCTATTTAGGGAATTTACTCCTTTCATTTTTATTATATTAAAATTGAATTTGTCACTTTCCCTTTAAAATACTGAATTTATAATTCTTGTGAATCTTATCCTCCATACAAACCTCAACATACCATTTTTACTTTGAAATAATTACATATTTATAACTAAAATGAATATTGTTTATAAAGATGTGACTTGTGGCGAGAGTAATAATATAATCATAGTAACTTATGTTAAAATTTTAAACTTAAATTATCATATTGTAGTAACTATTAATCATAGTTGTGTAAGTAAGTTTTATTTTAGTAATGTTTTTCAAAATCTTTTTTATTTTTTATTTTATTTGTCGATCATGAGATAGTTATAAAGGATGAAAAGAGCTTGAGACAACCATAAAACATCACGTTTTACCAGTGCATGTGGAAATGCTTAGGCGTATGAATAGATAACCATAAAGTTTTCGCTTTTTGATTAGTTGTTATTGTACGGAGTAATTTGTAACCAATTCAATTTCTTGAATTGTTATTTATAGACAAAGCAGGTCGTGCAAATGATATGTCTGAAAGCACGCGCACATATGAAATTTTGTTAAAGATTCCACAAATGTTCTCAAAATAACAAAATTTAACTTATTAAAAATCTTTTTATATATTAAAATTGAGCAGATATTTAATATATAGGGTTTTTATTTTATACAGAAAGTTTTAAGATAGAACTTAGATGTCTACATGGGACGGATGAATACAAGTTAACTTTTTCATTTCCGCTATTTCATAATTCATGTATCCGTGTTTAAGCTCCCATAATCTATCACTAAGGAGGGATTTGGGGGTTGGTGGATGGTTACCCATTGAGCTATATTCACCTTCTTAAAATTTCATGTCTGCCGAGAATTGAACATGTGACCTAACACTCAGACCTTAAGTATCACACATGTGACTAATAAATACTGCTATGAAGCTCTTGACTGGACTATGCAGGATATTCTTCGACATTCATACGCTTGTGATGGAATGAAACCTTTTGGTGGAAAGATAATTGTCTTTGGCGGAGACTTTAGACAGATTTTACCAGTAATTCCAAAGGGTAACGGGTAAGATATTGTGCAGGAGACTTTAAACTCATCCTTCATTTGGCCGTTTTGCAAGGTACTGAGGCTAACGAAGAACATGAGTGCAAAGTGGATCAGACAATCTTAATTCCACATACATACAAAGTTTCATTGATTGTATTTTAAAGATAGGGGAAAAGGTTTTAGGTGACAATGAGGATGGAGAATCATATATTGACATACCTGAAGAATTCCTCGTGCCTTGGATTTCTGATCCAATTACTTCTATTTTCCAGAGTACATATCTTGATTTCTTGGCACAATGCACATCCCCTTCATATTTAATGTCAAGAGCAATACTAGCGCAAACATTAGACGAGGTGGACAAAGTTAATGATTACATGCTCGCACAACTACCATCAGAGATGAAGACATATTTCAGCTTCGATTCTGCATCATTATCTGATTCTGATAGTAGTTTGTTGCAAGAGATAAATTCTCCAGAATTTCTTAATGGAATCAAATGTTTCGGAGTATCTAGCCACGAGCTCAAATTAAAAGTGGGTCCCCCTGTGATGCTTATGAGGAATCTTGATGAATCACAGGGTTTGTGTAATGGCAGTTGACTTTTAGTGACCAGACTTAGAAAGCATGTTATTGAGGTCGAAATGTTGTCAGGGCCAACTGCTGACCAAAAACATTTCATTCCCCGTCTTACCTTGACTCCCTTTCTGATGTCAGACTGTCATTCATTTTCCAACGTGGGCAATTCCCTCTGATGGTTAGTTATGCGATGACTATAAATAAGAGTCAGGACCAGTCATTGAAAATGTGGGGATACTCTTACGGCGATCGGTTTTCACCCATGAGCAGCTTTACGTTGCTGTATCAAGAGTCACGAGTCCAGCTGGTTTGAAGTTTTTGATATGTGACAATAATGGTAGACCAACAAACTACACATTAAATGTTGTATACAAAGAAGTCTTTATCAATTTGTAATATTACATTTTGTCTTGAATAAAATTTAGAGCTTCTTAATTCAAACCGAAAAAGAAATGTTATCATTCAGATAGGAAAATAATTAAATTACTATCAAATAATATAAAATAATATTTTAGGCCATGCTCGAGGAAAAATTATATTACTATCAAATAATATAAATGGCCATTTCACCCCGTGCAAGGTGCAAAAACTAGTTCACTTTATTTCACTAATTCACCGCATGTCGTTATGATTGCCTTTTATAATACTCTATATATATATGATTTGAAGAACATTATCTACACTATTTATTATGTTTACCCATATGGAAAGCAAAAAAAAAAAGTTGCCTCTCTAATAAAATAGCTCTCTGACCTCCCTCCATGTTTAATTTGAAGGTCTATACTAATAGAATTATTACAGGATCAGTACTCTACATTAAACTCTTCTTTATTATAAATATATCTGCTAGGACTCCTAGAGAGTATCATGTTCCATTATTTCACATGGTATCAAGAACACAGAATAAACCCTAATTTCTCTCTCTCTCTCTCTCTCTCTCTCTCTCGGCTAACCCTACACCGCCGCCATGAGCTCTTCAGCTTCCACCACCGCCGCCGTATCTTCTTCGGTGATCATTTCCG